AGTTCTCTGTAGTTGCTAGGTTAGTTCTCTCTAGTTGGTAGCTTAGTTCTCTGTAGTTGCTACGTTAGTTCTATATAGTTGCATTTTTTTTTTAACAAACAACGCCCCGAGAGGCGGGGGATTGGGCTGGATCCCCAACCTGTACATAGATCAAGACCCCAGAAAGGGCCCAAAATATTAAACAGTTACAGTAAACATAGTCTCACAGGCAAAAAAAAGAAAACAAAAAAATAAAAACAGAAAACAGAAAAAGGAAATAATACAAGGTCTGTCATCGGGCTAACAGGTGCCCGGAATAAATGTATGATCAAATGAGAACAAAATCTAATCTACTAAAAGCGGAAAGATGGATATCCAAGCTAGTCCATCCGTACCAGCGTGCGAAGGCGGAGTGGAGCAGTGTCGGTCTGAAACGTGTGTAGGTCAGGTGTGGTGGCGCCAAGGCTGGCAAGGTAGTCAGCAGGTCTGTTCCCCTCACGAAAAATGTGCGTAATCCTATGATGGACAGACCGCAGAAGAGCTCTAATGCGCATAAGTGGGTGCTGAATCTACCACGAGCCCTGGTGGCCCGAGGTTAAGATGGTGACGACCACCGCAACGTCCAGCTCGATCCAAATATGACTAGAGAGGTGGGCAGCAATTTGAAGGCCAATCTGTAGTGTCTGAATCTCTGCGTCGTAGCTCGAGGAGGCCTGGAGGGACGTGTGGAAGGCGGTGATAAGGGCGCCGCTGTGGTCCCGGATCAAACTTCTTCCCCCGGCAACTCCGGTCTGGCGATCGAAAGAGACATCAGTGTTCAGCTTGACCTAAAGAGAATCGGGTCGAAGCCAAACAACAGCTCTGGGCCGAGCGGCCCGAACAGGCGCAAGGGGAACCACCATGTAGCGATGTGGTGGTGTGCAGCCTGTCCAGTCTCTGGCAGTGAGCCTGCCCAATGATGTGAGGAGTGAAATATGTCTCTCTACCTCCAAAACAATGTGATAAAGTAAAAAAGTAATATCCCTATGCTTCGCACTATTCCTTTCCGTCTAGGTGCACCAAAGGATCAGACAAGGAATAAGGAAGCCCACGTGTCTAAGGTGTGTGCTTTGTGAGAAAAAACTCAGGAGCTCAAAGAAACTGTCTGTGGAGGGTAGTGATATATGCGTCAATGTGGCAAAATGCTCCCACACTCTCCTCACAATCTCACTCTCTAGAAAAGGGTGGGTAAGGTCTCGGTCTCATGGCATCCAGTCTCAGAAGAACACACGCACCAGGAGGGTAGGAGATCCCCCTCGCATGTAAAACAGTGTCCACGGGAATCCGGCGCAAGAGGAGGCACTAAAGGAATACCGAAATGGTAGGGGGAAAAAGATCGCTCCACATGGCTCCAAAGAGAAGATTAGGCCGATCTCTCAGCCTGATCTGCTCCCATGCGGAGGTAGTAGAAAACACACTCAATGATGTAAGTCTCCACCTCATGCCATCCGAACCATCCTCTGAGATGGGAATCTGCTGGATCTGATCTAATAAATGCTCGCTAAAACCCGCCCTAAGGCCCAACTCCCTATCAAGCTTCCCCCTATCCCATGACCCATCCGTCCAAGGTCGCTCACAAGCAGGAAGGGGGAATGTGACACTGCCTATCCCTAGACAATAGCCTATCACCTATCCACCACTCATCCCAAAAACTAACCGCGCCATCACCCAAAACCCAAAAGATGTGATCCTGGGCGCATCTACCGACCCTAGTAAGACGCCGCCACTGTCTGCTATCATGAGCCAC